GCTTGTAGGGTTTCTGCCAAGAGATCTGCTGTTTGTCTGATGGGCTTCCTTTGTGGCTAACCTGTCCTTTCTCTCTGGCTGCCCTTAACATTTTTCCCTTCATTTCAACTTGGGGAATCTGACAATTATGTGTCTTGGAATTGCTCTTCTCGAGGAATATCTTTGTGACATTCTCTGTATTTCTTGAATTTGAATGTTGGCATGCCTTGCTAGGTTGAGGAAGTTCTCCTAGATAATATCCTGAAGAGTGTTTTCCAACTTGGTTCTGTTCTCCCTGTCACTTTCAGGTACAGTAATCAGATGTAGATTCGGTCTTTTCTTTTTCTTTTTCTTTTTTTTTATTATTATACTTTAGGTTCAAGGGTACATGTGCATAACGTGCAGGTTTGTTACATATGTATACTTGTGCCATCTTGCTGTGCTGCACCAATCAACTCGTCATTTATATCAGGTATAACTCCCAATGCAATCCCTCCTCCCTCCCCCCTCCCCATGATAGGCCCCGGTGTGTGATGTTCCCCTTCCCGAGTCCAAGTGATCTCATTGTTCAGTTCCCACCTATGAGTGAGAACATGCGGTGTTTGGTTTTCTGTTCTTGCGACAGTTTGCTGAGAATGATGGTTTCCAGCTGCATCCATGTCCCTACAAAGGACACAAACTCATCCTTTTTTGTGGCTGCATAGTATTCCATGGTGTATATGGTCTTTTCACATAGTCCCATATGTCATGGAGGCTTTGTTCATTTCTTTTTACTCTTTTTTCTCTAAACTTCTCTTTTCACTTCATTTCATCCATTTGATGTTCAATTACTGATACCCTTTCTTCCACTTGATCAAATCGGTTACTGAAGCTTGTGTATGTGTCACATAATTCTTGTGCCATAGTTTTCAGCTCTATCAGGTCATTTAAGGATTTCTCTACACTGTTTATTCTAGTTAGCCATTCATCTAATCTTTTTTGAAGATTTTTAGCTTGTTTGCAATGGGTTTGAACATCCTGCTTTAGCTCAGAGAAATTTGTTATTACTGATCATCTGAATCCTTCTTCTCTTGACTTGTCAAAGTCATTCTCCGTCCAGCTTTGTTCTGTTGCTGGCGAGGAACTGCATTCCTTTGGAGAAGAAGAGGCACTCTGATTTTTAGGATTTTCAGCTTTTCTGCTCCGGTTTCTCCCCATCTTTGTGGTTTTATCTACCTTTGGTCTTTGATGATGGTGATGTACAGATGGGGTTTTGGTGTGGATGTCCTTTCTGTTTGTTAGTTTTCCTTCTAACAGTCAGGACCCTCAGCTACACGTCTGTTGGGGTTTGCTGGAGGTCCACTCCTGACCCTGTTTGCCTGGGTATCACCAGTGGAGGCTGCAGAATGGCAAATGTTGCTGTCTGAGCCTTCCTCTGGAAGCTTTGTCTCTTAGGGGCACCCAGCCATATGAGGTGTCAGTCACCCCCAACTGGGAGGTGTCTCCCAGTTAGGCTACTCGGGGTCAGGGACCCACTTGAGGAGGCAGTCTGTCCATTCTCAGATCTCAAACTCCATGCTAGGAGAACCACTACTCTCTTCAAAGCTGTCAGACAGGGATGTTTAAGTCTGCAGAAGGTTCTGCTGCCTTTTTTTCAGCTATGCCTTACCCCTAGAGGTGGAGTCTACAGATGCAGGCAGGCCTCCTTGTGCTGTGGTGGACTCTACCCAGTTCAAGCTTCCCAGCCACTTTGTTTACCTACTCAAGCCTCAACAATGGCAGATGCCCCTCCCCAGCCTCAGTGCCGCCTCACAGTTTGATCTCAGACTGCAGTACTAGCAGTGAGTGGGGCTCCGTGGGTGTGGGACCTCTGAGACAGGCGCAGGATACAGTGTCCTGGTGTGTCATTTGCTAAAGCCATTGGAAAAGTGCAGTATTAGGGTGAGAGTGTCCCAATTTTCCAGGTGCAATCTGTCATGTCTTCCTTTTGCTAGGAAAGGGAATTACTCCACCCCTTGCACTTCCCGGGTGAGGTGATGCCCTGCCCTGCTCTGTGGGCTGCACCCACTGTCTGACAAACCCCTGTGAGATTAACCCAGTTCCTGAGTTGGAAATGCAGAAATCACCCACCTTCTGCATCACTCACACTGGGAGCTGCAGGCTGGAGCTGTTTGTATTTGGTCATCTTGGAGCCTCCCCGCTTCCTTACATCTTACACAAAATTAACTCAAGATGGATTGAAGACTTAAATGTAAAACCTAAAACCATAAAAACCCTAGAAGAAAACCTAGGCAATACCATTCAGGACATAGGCATGGGCAAAGATTTCATGACTAAAACACCAAAAGCAATGGCAACAAAGGCCAAAATTGACAAATGGGACCTAATTAAACTAAAGAGCTCCTGCACAGCAAAGGAAGCTATCATAAGAGTGAACAGGCAACCTACAGAATGGAAGAAAATTTTTGCCATCTATCCATTTGACTAAGGTCTAATATCCAGAATCCACAAGGAACTTAAACAAATTTACAAAACAACAACAACAACAACAACAACAACAACAAAACTACTGGGTCTGTCCTGCAGACCCTGGCCAATGGATGAAATGAGTACTCATATACAGGTATGCAGTATAAGAGCAGCTAGGGGATTGTCTGGCTTAAGTGGCCAGAGTGTAGCCTCGAGAAGCTGGAGCTGCATGCTTTTATTCAGTGCAGGCACAATGCTGAAAACCTGGAGCCCACATAATCTGTAGGTAATTAATATTTATTGTTCCCCTTTCAGGGAACATCAAGCAGGGATGATCAAAGGTCAACTCCTGGTCAATATAAGTAAACAAGCCTGTTCATGATGACTTCCCCTTCCCTCCCTTGTGCATATTCTTGCCCTCTGGCTCAGGGTCAGAGAACAGCTGCCTTCATCTATTCTACCTGAAGCTATGCAGAGCCTTTTCACCTTTCAGAAGAGCTGTTCTTTTCCCTGTGCTTTCTCCTACCGCTCTGACTGATCTCCTATAAACAACTCCATCAAAAAGTGAGTGAGCAGACACTTCTCAAAAGAAGAGATTTATGCAACCAACAAACATATGAAAAACAGTTCATCACCACTGGTCATTAAAGAATGTAAATCAAAACCACAATGAGATACTATCTCATGCCAATTAGAATGGTGATCCTTAATAAGTCAGGAAACAAGAGATGCTGATGAGAATGTGAAGAAATAGGAACACTTTCACACTGTTGGTGGGAGTGTAAATTATTTCAACCATTGTGGAAGACAGTGTGTTGATTCCTCAATGATCTAGAACCAGAAATTCCATTTGCTCTAGCAATCCCATTACTGAGTATATACCCAAAGGATTATAAACCATTTTACTATAAAGATACATGCACATGTATGTTTATTGCAGCACTATTTACAGTAGCAAAGACTTGGAACCAACCCAAATGCCCATCAATGACAGACTGGATAAAGAAAATGTGGGACACACACACTACAGAATACTATGCAGCCATAAAAAATAATGAGTTCATGTCCTTTGCAGGGACATGGATGAAGCTGGAAACCATCATCCTCATCAAACTAACACAGGAACAGAAAACCAAATGCCACATGTTCTCACTCATAAGTGGGAGTTGAACAATGAGAACACGTGGACACAGGGAGGGGAACATCACACACCAGGGCCTGTCGAGGGGTTGGGGAGCAAGGGGAGGGAGAGCATTGGACAAATACCTAATGCATGTGGGGCTTAAAACCTAGATGACAAGTTCACAGATGCAGCAAACCACCATGGCACATGTATACCTATGTAACAAATATGCACAATTCTGCACATGTATCCCAGAACTTAAAGTAAAATTAAAAAATTAAAAAAGTTTATCAATCACTTGATTACAACTTTGTTTCAGAGATCCTCCACCAAAAAAGAAAACCTTTCCTATAATTTAATTTATTTAGCTATTAAATGATAGACTTGGCCTAATCAATGTCAAATTTCAAATAAGTTAAATTTGAAGGATGATTAGAGATGATGGGCATTTAGTTGCTAAAGAAGAAAATTCATTTTTAAAAAACTAAAGAGGAAACAAAAAACTCCTTTTATTAATTTCCTTTTCCTTCTCTTCCTTCCTTCCTTCCTTCCTTCCTTCCTTCCTTCCTTCCTTCCTTTCTTTCTTTCTTTCTTTCTTTCTTTCTTTCTTTCTTTCTTTCTTTCTTTCTTTCTTTCTTTCTTTCTTTCTTTCTTTCTTTTTCTTTCTTTCGAGTCAGAGTCTCGCTCTTTTGCCAGGCTGAAGTGCACTGGTGTGATTTCGGCCCACTGCAACCTCTGCCTCCTGGATTCAAGAGATTCTCCTGCCTCAGCCTCCTAAGTAGCTGGGATTACAGGCATCCGCCACCACATTCGACTAATTTTTGCATCCTTAGCAGAGATGGGATTTCACCATGTTGCCCAGGCTGGTCTTGAACTCCTGACCTCAGGTGATCCACCTGCCTTGGCCTCCCAAAGTGCTGGGATTACAGACGTGAGCCACCATGTTCCACCTAATTTACTTTTCCATGTTTGCCTTGCCTGGGATTTACATTTCAAATAAGAAGTTTTTCTTTAATTTTTTTGACAAACTAATCTATGTTAGACATACTATTCATTTATATTTGTTTTCCTTCTGATAAAACACATTCTGCTTCTTACATTTATTTTCTCAAATACATGAATTCACCCATAGTCTCTCTAGTTCCTCTCTACTGATTCAGCGCATGATTCTTTCAGCTATTCATTATAATATAAAAAGCTTTGAAATCCCCAGCCATTCTCGCCCTTTCTATCTCAGTGCTTTGTTGTCTACAGACTTTGCAGAGTGATATGATTCCCTCTGAAACTTGAATTATTAGGTTTTTAAAAAATTCTCCTTTTTTTTTCTTTCCAAAGTAATAGACAAATAGGCCAGGAATGTAAATTTAGCATTTGAGCAACCATTATTCAACCAGCTAGGTTGTAATGGTTACTTCAGGATTAATGTAAAAGTGGTGTGTTGATTTTATGCATGCCGAACTCTTTTTTTTTGCTGTTAAGGGAATTCGTCGGTAAAACATTGCTTAAAACTTCTAAACTATTATTATCTGTTAACAAATACAAAGTGTTTTATAACTACAGTTTACTAGTATTTTAAAATTGTTTCCAATTCTTTAGGCTCACCCTGTGATCCCACTTTCATCCTGGGCTGTGCTCCCTGCAATGTGATCTGCTCCATTGTTTTCCATAAACGTTTTGATTATAAAGATCAGCAATTTCTTAACTTGATGGAAAAATTTAATGAAAACATCAAGATTGTGAGCAGTCCCTGGATCCAGGTAAGGCCAAGATTTTTGCGTCCTGAGAAACCACTTATGCTCTTTTTTTCTGACAAATTCAAAATTCTATATGGACCAAACCCTGAAGTACATTTTTGAATACTGCAGTCTTGCCCATACAACCATGGGGTAAATATCTGGGAAAGATGGCAAAGCCCTTTATTTTATGCACAAGAAATGAATGTCCCAATATAGATCTGGCTTCTAAGTCCATCAGCTCCCTGATCAGTGTTTTTTCCACTAAACTCCAAAGCCCTGTTTCTATAAAGTACTTTGATGACAGCCCCAAAGCGTGCTCATATCACTCCATGGACATCCAGGCACTTTGGAGGCTTCCATTACTCAGAAGGCTTGTCCTTCAATTCACACTTTGTCATATTATGTGGCAGAAATATCCTAATCTAAAAGACGCTATCTCCTTCAAGGAGGGAGAATATTTGGAACCATAGAAGCTGCCAAAAAACACTGAATAGGGCAGGGGTGTTTGATATCTCAGTTGGGATTCTAGCTGATGAGATAGTTGGGTTAGGAATGACAAAATTATTGTTTTGTGTGTGTGTATGAACCATAAACAGACATCACACTTTTACCCTGTGCTGAACTGGCATGTTTTATACTCTGCCTAGATAATAACTGTGTGATTTCAGAGAAGTCATTTAACTGCTCTGGTGCACAGTTAGAATTTGAAGCATCTTTGAACCCCTCCAACTTCTAAAATACTAATTACATTTCAGAGGTTGCTTGATAGAAATCAATATAGTAGGGACAAGCTTTGTACTATCAATCAGATTTTCCAAATTCTTTTAACTTATGCTGTCATCTACAAAACGTGAATGTAGTAATTGATACCATCTTATATTTCAAGATTGTAGAGAAGAATTGTAAAAAGTAAGAGAATTAATATAAAGATGCTTTTATACTATAAAAAGGAGATATGAGTCTAGGAAATGATTATCATCTTTGATTCTCTGGTAAGAATTTTCTTCCTCAAATCTTTTATAATCAGAGAATTACTACATATGTACAATAAAAATTTCTCCATCAAGATATAGAATATATTTTATTTATATTTATATCTTTAAATTACAACCAGAGCTTGGTATATGATACGTATGCTTTTATTAAATGCTTTTAATTTGATAAATTATTGTTTTCTCTTAGATATGCAATAATTTTCCTCCTTTCATTGATTATTTCCCGGGAGCCCATAACAAATTACTTAAAAACATTGCTTTTGTGAAAAGTTATATTTTGGAGAAAGTAAAAGAACACCAAGAATCAATGGACATGAACAACCCTCGGGACTTTATTGATTGCTTCCTGATCAAAATGGAGAAGGTAAAAACTTAACAACAGCTTAGTTATGTGACTGCTTGCGTATTTGTGATTCATTGACTAGTTTTGGGTTTACTATGGATGTTTAAGTGGTCAAGGAGTAATGCTTGAGAAGCATTTTAAGTTTTTATTGTATGGATGAATATCAAGTAAGCATCATAGAAAATATAAAATTAAATTGTTAAATATTTAGACTACATAGACTCAATTGTTTAGATAAATATAATCTACCTGAACAATAAAGATGGCAGAATAGGAAAAGCCCTGTTCTGCAGCTTCCAGTGATATCAACACAGAAGGTCGGTGATTTCTGCATTTCCAACTGAGGTACCCAGCTCATCTCATTTGGACTGGTTAGACAGTGGTGCAGCCCACGGAGAGTGAGCAGAAGCAGGGTGGGGCATCACCTCACCTGGAAAGCTCAAGGGGTCAGGGAGCTCCCTCCTCTAGCCAAGGGAAGCTGTGAGAGACCCTGCCATGAGGAACTATGCATTCCTGCCCAGATACTATGCTTTCCCAACAGTCTTAGCAACCTGCAGACAAGAAGATTCCCTCAGGTGCCTACAGCACCAGGGTCCTGGGTTTCAAGCACAAAACTGGGCAGCTGTTTGGGCAGACACCGAGTTAGCTGCAGGAGTTCTTTATTTCATACACCAGTGGCACCTGGAACACCAGTGAGACAGAGCTGTTCACTGCACTGGAAAGGGGGCTGAAGCCAGGGAGCCAAGGGGTCTAGCTCAATGAATCCAACCCCCATGGAGCCCAGCAAGCTAAGATCCACTGGCTTGAAGTTCTTGCTGCCAATACAGCAGTCTGAAGTTGACCCAAGATGCTGGAGCTTGGTAAGGGGAGAGGCATCTACCATTACTAAGGCTTGAGTAGGTAGTTTTCCCCTCACAGTGTAAACAAAACCACAAGGAAGTTAGAACTGGGTGGAGCCCACTGCAGCTCAGCAAAGCCACTGTAGCTAGACTGCCTCTCTAGATTCTTCCTCTCTGAGCAGGACATCTCTGAAAGAAAGGCTGCAGTCCCAGTCAGGGGCTTATACATAAAGTGTCCATCTCCCTGGGACAGAGCACCTGGGGGAAGGGGCGGCTATGAGCGCAACTTCAGCAGACTTAAACTTTCCTGCCTGCCAGCTCTAAAGAGATCAGCAGATCTCCCAGCACAGTGGTTGAGCTTTGCTAAGATACAGACTGCTTCCTCAAGTGGGTGCTTGACCCCCAAGCCTCCTGATGGGGAGACACCTCCCAGCAGGGGTCAACAGACACATCACACAGGAGAGCTTTGGGTGGCATCTGGTGGGTGCCCCTTTGGGATGAAGCTTTCGGAGGAAGGAGAAGGCAGCAATCTTTGCTGTTCTGCAGCCTACACTGGTGATACCCAGGCAAAGAGGGTCTGGAGTGGACCTCCAGCAACTCCAGCAGACCTACAGAAGAGGGACCTTACTGTTAGAAGAAAAACTAATGAACAGAAAGAAATAGCATCAACATCAACAAAAATCTCATACAAAGGTCACCAGCATCAAAGACCAAAGGTAGATAAATCCACAAAGATGAGGAAAAACCAACACAAAAAGTCTGAAAATTTCAAAAACCAGAATGCCTCTTCTCCTCCAAAGGACCACAACTCCTTGCCAGCAAGGGAACAAAACTAGACGGAGAGTGAGTTTGATGAATTGACAGAAGTAGACTTCAGAAGGTGGGTGAAAACAAACTCCCTGAGCTAAAGGAGCATATTCTATCCCAACGCAAGAAAGCTAAGAACCTTGAAAAAAAGGTTAGATGAATTGCTAACTAGAATAACCAGTTTAGAGAAAAAGATAAATGACCTGATGGAGCTGAAAAACACAGCATGAGAACTTCGTGAAGCATACACAAATATCAATAGCCAAATTGATAAAGCAGAAAAAAGAATATCAGAGATTAAAGATCAAATTAATGAAATAAAGCATGAAGATAAGATGAAAGAAAAAAGAATGAAAAGGAGCAAACAAAGCCTCCAAGAAATATGGGACTATGTGAAAAGATCAAATCTACATTTGATTGATGTACCTGAAAGTGATGAGGAGAATGGAACCAAGTTGGAAAACACTCTTCAGGATTTTATCCAGCAGAACTTCCCCAACCTAGAAAAGTCGGCCAACATTCAAATTCAGGAAATACAGAGAACACCACAAAGATACTTTTTGAGAAGAGCAACACCAAGACACATAATTGTCAGATTCACCAAAGTTGAGATGAAGGGAAAAATGTTAAGGGCAGCCAGAAAGAAAGGTCAGGTTACCCACAAAGGGAAGTTCATCAGACTAACAGCAGATCTCTCGGCAGAAACTCTACAAACCAAAAGACAGCAGGGGCCAATATTCAACATTCTTAAAGAAAAGAATTTTCAACCCAGAATTTCATATCCAGCCAAACTAAACTTCATAAGCAAAGGAGAAATATCATTTTTTACAGGCAAACCAATGCTGAGGGATTTTGTCACCACCGGGTCTGCCTTACAAGAGCTCCTGAAGGAAGCACTAAATATGGAAAGGAAAAATCGGTACCAACCACTGCAAAAACATACCAAATTGTAAAGACCATTGACACTATGAAGACAGTGTATCAACTAATGGGCAAAATAATCAGCCAACATCATAATGACAGGATCAAATTCACATATGACAATATTAACTTTAAATGTGAATGAGATAAATGCCTTAGTTAAAAGACACAGACTGGCAGGTTGGATAATGAGTCAAGACCCATTGGTGTGCTATGTTCAGGACACCCATATCATGTACAAAGACACACATAGGCTCAAAATAAAGGAATGGAGGAAGATTTACCAAGCAAATGGAAAGCAAAAGAAAAAAAAGAAAAAGAAAAGAAAAAAGCAGGGGTTGCAATCCTAGTCTCTGATAAAACAGACTTTCAACCAACAAAGATCAAAAGAGATGAAGAAGGCGATTACATAAAGGTAAAGGGATCAATGCAACAAAAAGAGCTAGCTATCCTAAATATATCCTATATATATATAGCCAATACAGGAGCACCCAGATTCATAAAGCAAGTTCTTAGAGACCTACGAAGAGACTTAGACTCCAACACAATAATAGTGGGAGACTTTAACAACCCACTGTCAATATTAGACAGGCCAATGAGACACAAAATGAACAAGGATATCCAGGACTTGAACCCAGCTCTGGACCAAGTGGACCAAATAGACATCTACAGAACTCTCCACTCCAAATCAACAGAATATACATTCTTCTCAGCACCACATTGCACTTATTCTAAAATTGACCACATAATTGGATATAAAACACTTCTTAACAAATGCAAAAGAGTGGAAATCATAGCAAACAGTCTCTCAGACCACAGTGTAATCAAACTAGAACTGAGGATTCAGAAACTCACTGAAAACCACGCAACAACATGTAAACTGAACAACCTGCTCCTGAATGAATACTGAGTAAATAATAAAATTAAGGCAGAAATAAATAAGTTCTTTGAAACCAATGAGAACAAAGACACAATGTACCAGAATCTCTGGGTCACATGTAAATCAGTGTTTAGAGAGCAATTTATAGCACTAAATGCCCACAGGAGAAAGTGGGAAATATCTAAAATCGACACTCTAACAGCACAATTAAAAGAACTAGAGAAGCAGGAGCTAACAATTCAAAACTAGCAGAAGACATGAAATAACTAAGATCAGAGCAGAACTGAAGAAGACAGAGACCCGAAAGCTCCTTCAAACAATCAATGAATCCAGAAGTTGTTTTTTGAAAAGATTAAGAAAATAGACCAGTAGCTAGACTAATAAAGAAGAAAAGAGAGAAGATCAAATAGATACAATAAAAATGATAAAGGGCATATCACCACTGATCCCACAGAAATACAAACTACCCTCAGAGAATACTATAAACACCTCTACACAAGTAAACCAGAAAATCTAGAAGAAACGGATGAATTCCTAGACACATACACCCTCCCAAGACTAAACCAGGAAGAAGTAGAATCCATGAATAGACCAATAACAAGTTCTGAAATTGGGGCAGTGATGAAGAACCTACCAACCAAACCAAACCAAACAAAAAACAAACAAACAAAACAAAACACTGATTCAGAGCCAAATTCTATCAGAGGCACAAAGAGGAGCTGATCCTATTCCTTCTGAAACTATTCCAAACAATAGAAAAAGAGAGAATTCTACCTAAATCATTTTATAAGGCTAGCATTATCCTGATACCAAAACCTGGCAGAGATACAAGAGAAAAAGAAAATTTCAGGTCAATATACCTGATGAATATGAATGTGAAAATCCACAATAAGATACTGGCAAACCAAATCCAGCAACACATCAAAAAGCTTATCACCACGATCAAGTTGGCTTCATCCTTGGAATGCAAGGCTGATCCAACATACACAAATCAATAAATGTAATCCATCATATAAACAGAACCAATGACAAAAACCACATCATTATCTCAATAGATGCAGAAAAGGCCTTCAAAAAAATTTAATACCTCTTCATGCTAAAACCTCTAAATAAACGAGGTATTGATGGAACATATCTCAAAATAATAAGAGCTATTTATGACAAACCCATAGCGAATATCATACTGAATGGGCAAAAGTTGGAAGCATTTCCTCTGAAAACTGACACAAGAAAAGGATGTCCTCTCTCACCACTCCTATTCAACATAGTATTGGAAGTTCTGGTGAGGTCAGTCAGGCAAGAGAAAGAAATTAGGGTATTTAAATAGAAAGAGAGGAAGTCAAATTGTCACTGTTTGCAGATGATGTGATTGTACATTTAGAAAGCCTCATCGTCTCAGCCTCAAATCTCCTTAAGCTGATAAGCAACTTCAGCAAAGTCTCAGAATACAAATTCATTGTGCAACAATCACAAGCATCCTAGACACCAATAATGAACAAACAGAGAGCCAAATCACAAGTGAACTCCCATTCACAATTGCCACAAAGAGAATAAAACACCTAGGAATCAACTTA